ATTTTGTAGAAATTCAGTATTTATTAAATGATCCAATAAGTCACTGTATTTACCTTCAAAAGACTTAACAATCTCTCAAAGAAAATAAATGGGCATAACCACTTATAACTGATGAACAGGTACGTGCACAGATTGCTACCTGGGACAGAATGAATTAATTCCACCCTGGAGAGGGAGGAGGGTTAGCTAGGAAGGCTAGAGATGAACAGGATTTTGTCAAGTTGAGAAACGGTAAGAAAGGTGTCTTGAATAGGCATAACGTTATGGTAGTACATGGAATGCACCAGAAAGACAAACACTCAGGGACAATTATTATATGCGTGGAGTATGTAGATGGAGTGGCAGATGAGATGCCAAAGGCTGTCTGGGCCAGATTATGCAAGGCTGACTGTCTAGCCAAAGAGAGCAGACTTTGTTCCAGGCAATGAGGAGCTACTGAGCAATTTCTGAAGCAGGGAGTGACAAGATCAGTTACATCTTGGTACGACAGCTGTAGCAGCACTGTAGAGGGTAGGCGGGAGGAAGGAAAATCACATCTAAATAGAAAATGAAAGCCTCTTCAGATTACTATTATTCTGTAACTACCCTTTGACCAATTTGAAATTAAGATAGTTAATATGTAACTGAAATGTACGTTAATGATAAATTTTATTATATATTGTATATAGAGTATATACCTAAGGTCCAATTTAAAAAAAGACCAAATTTCCTTAATGCAAAAATTCACAGGTGGGGGAGGGTATAGCTCAGTGGTAGAGTGAGTGCTTGGCATGCACGAGGTCCTGGGTTCGATCCCCAGTGTCTCCATTAAAAACAAACAAACAAACCAAATTACCTACCCTCCCGCAAAAAAACCAAACAAATAAAAAAAAGGTCTTTAAAAAAATTCACAGAAAAACAAGAGAATGAGAACCAATATCTCTAGTGCTCTCATGGAAGATTCCACACTTTTTTTTTAAAAAGTGATCTGCATCTTTCTCAAAAACTGCATGGGATTATAGGGGAACACAAATTGCTTAGTTAGAACTTTAAAACACCTTACAGCACTTAAAAAGCAGGCAGAAGTCAACCAACAACTAAAAACTGACTGGCCCCATCCAACCATAAACTCCATCAGAAATGAGAGCCTACGCTAGATGCGGAAGGAATGTGGAACTGCCACTGTGAATGCACACCAGGGTACACAAGTCTATCTTACCAGCAGAACCTAGAAACCCACTAAATCATTTTCACAGCAATAAATTTACCAGGTGTTTCCTGGTGAGTCATATAGGTAAAGCACATAGCCTCAAAATTTTACTTTCTTCTTTTCCCTCTGTCCACTCTCAATACTGCAGTTCCCCAGGGTTCTCAATTGATCCCCTCATTGCCTCGCACCTTCTCTCTGATCTCAGCTGTTTTCATGGGTTTAACAAACACCTACGCTGAGATCTCAAATCTATACATCACTGGACTTAGTGTGCACCTGAGCTTCAATCTCATGTATCTACCTGCCTGCTGAACAGACTTCCAACTCAGGAGGTCTACAATGACCTCTTCCTCTCCCACGTCTACTGCCCAAACCTGCTGTTCTGGATCTTAAGTTCAGTTGGATACCAACCACCTTGTTACCCAAGCCAGAGGCCTGGCAGTCACCCTGGTTTCCTCCATCTCTCTTACTCCAAATCCAGCCAATCACCAGGTTCTGCCGAGTGCACTGCAGTCCCATAAGTACAACACAAGGTAAATTAATAAAAGGAATTCTGTGATAACCATTTATTGCTTTGTTTGGAGAGATAAACCAGAAAAGCCTCAGCCAGGTGAGTTCCAAGAAAGCATCTACTCTGAAGTACAGAGCTAGAGCACAATACTACTTGATTACCCTCCCTTCACATCGGCCTTGGCAGCATAATAAAGCAAGCCATTCACATCCAGTTAGAAGGCCCATTCAGCTCATTCCTCTGGTCCAGTTGGTCTCAAACTTCCACATAGATCAGAATCATCTCAGGAGCGTTTAAAAGTAACTGATGCCCAAGCACATCCCATATGGAATGAATAAGAATCTCTGAGACTCGTGAGGTGCTTTAATTGTGCCCCAGGATTGAGAACACAGCTCTTCTCAGCCCAGAACCTGGGTTATGTCAAGGGCAGTGAAAATCCTTTCAGGACTCCAGTCTGTGGCTGCATCAGTGGAAAATAGATACAAAGCCTCAGAAAAGGCTACCATTTTGGTATTATAAATTGCTCAAGAGACCACAGACTCCACAAGAATCTGCCACGCAGAGGGCAGGCAATGAGGAGAATCTAGTGTCCTGAGAGCTCACAGTTTTAAGAAAGCTCTTTTCTCTCAGCTCAGGAGCTGTAAAACTTACTCAGGAAATACGGATGAGCTGTATCATCTGTTAACACGGATTTCAGGCTAATTTATTCATCAGCCTCCTTCGTGACAAGTAGTTTTTTTATTATTAACCACAGCAGGAGAGTACCATGGCAAGAATTAAAGTAACTAATGTAAATGGATGCCATATTAATCCATATTTAGAAATTTCTCCAAAAAAAAATAATCTGCAAGGGCTCATTTAATATTTAAGATTAAAGAAAATCTCCTGATAGTATATGTTAGAGATCCAACCAAATTAGTAAGTAAGAGGACTAAACAGTTAAGGACGGGGGAGGAATCTTCTCCAATTAGACTTAGAAAATCCCTAATGTCAGTCCTGTTGATCAACTGCAATAAAATAGTGAAAAATTAAAAGGAGACACCTGGGGCCCTAAGAAGTGGCAGACCACCCTGCAGTTCTCCAATTCCAAAAACAAACCTGGACTTACAACAACTCTACCCAGCAAGCCCAACCAAATTGGAACAAACAACTATTAATTCAAAATAAGGAAAGAGAACAAGTTACCTTTGATCAAGATAACTCGAAACTTATTTCTTAGTAATATGTGACAAATAAGTATGTATCTTACCAAAAGTTTTTAGTATTAGATGATTCAGGTGTAGAGAGAGCTTAAGTAAAAAGACAAAAACAAAAAAAATTTCACGCACATAGTTGCATAGTTCTCAGTCAGTTGTATCAGGCCAGTGACTCTATAAGGAGAAATACGATATCACAGAGCACTGGTAACAGATTTAAGCGTAAACCTGTTTGGCTTCTTATATCATTTAACGCCCAGGTGGCTGGGTTGTTAGTTTAACCACAAAGAAGCCGTTATCAGTTATAATTACATCTGGACAAGTACCCTCAAATAAACACCGTACAACCCAGGTCCCTGTCCATCACCAGCTTGCAAAATAACGGCCACTTAATTAAGATATTAAAATCTTAGATCTATTTCACTAGATGTTGATTCTCTACCAATAGAAGCGAGGGGTGGGATGAAACTGAAGGTTTATGAAAATGACTGGATGAACAGAAAGACATTAAAATCATAAAAGGAGACAATCTGGTATCTTACCAGGACTTAAACCATTATGGCATGCAAGGAAAACTAAGTCTTTACGGTGCTTCCCTAACAAAGCGACTCTCCCTACCAGCCAGCCGTCCTTTGAAGCACAAAACGGCAGCGATTCCTGCCCTTTGTTAAAAAAAAAAAAGACAAAAAACACATTTTCACAGAAATCATCTAACTGGCATGAAGTGAAGATTCGCTAGGTTACTCTGGAAATCGTGCGCGATCCTGAAATGCGCTCTACCGGTTACAGCATGAAAGCACTCAAACGGCAAAGACCAACCGAGCCACTTGGGAGCCGAGGCGGCCCCGGCGCTGCCCGCCGACACCGCCTCCTCCGGTTCTCATCCCGGGGCTGCGCCTTTAGCGGCGAGGAGCTGCTCCGGAGTGGCTCGTGTTCTTTCTGCCGGCCAGACTGCAGGGTCTGGG